CATTGCCAGTATCCATGAGTCATATCCAATGAACTCATAACCCTTTTTCCCGACATGAGCTTGATGATTTCATGAATTGGTCGTGGTAGCTCGTAATCAGGTTCCATTATTTTGTTGAGATGACGAGCATCCAGGCATACCCGCACTGTTCCATCCTTTTTGACAGTGGTCATCAAGGGTGAGATGTATTTAGATGGTGCTCGTTCGATAATGTTCCAGGCCACCATCTTGTCTATAGTTTGCTGAACAGCAACTCGGTGTGCCATTGGTATAGGGTAAGGCTTTATGAAGAACTCTTTATCATCTTTCAATCTAATTTCGTGAAAATACTCTGTAGTCCTACCAGGTCCATTTGAAAAAACCACAGAAAATCGCTCCAGGAGTTCACTAAACTTTGATTTTTCACTCTCCAATAGTGCACAAGCACTCACAATATCAATAAAATTTTTGTCTAAATTTTCACCTATATCTCCTGGACTATAACACTGTTCATTTTTATTAACAATTGCATGAATAGCTAAAGTATCAGGTGCTGCAAAATTGTGACTAAATCTCGTCTCTGAAAAGGTCATTGCTTTTCCTCCATATGTGAGAGTAATCTTTTGTTCAGCTAACGAAATATTTGCAGTACAGAACCGCAAAAAATCACAACCAATAATTATTGGATGTGAGAGATTATTTATCACTAAAAATTCAAACATGAATTCGCTATCATCAATATTAAATTTTAACTGTGCTTGTAAAGACACCTTTTGGAATTTAGATTTAAATGCTCCAACAACCCTAATTCCTGTTACAGCAAAATGTGGGATAATATTTACAAAGTTACTAAGTTGAGTCCACACCTCCATTGAAATTGCACTAACTTTACTGCCAGTGTCAATAAGTGCTAGATAATAATAATTATAAAGTTTAACTAAAATCAAGGGACAACGATTATCCTCAACCATGTGATCTGCATCACATTCTTCCTCTAAAAGACCTTTAAGAGGATTATTCTCTAAAAAAATACAATCAGTTGGAAAATGTGCCCCCACATTTTGGCTTAAACATGGGGGTCTGAGTCGTTTCCCGAGTTTTCCTCAGTTTCGGGCTCACACTCTAAATGAGAAATATTTTTTGCCTCTGTACTATATAGTCTGAAATTTTTCTAGGTGGCGCTACTGATTGGTTCCTGATACCACCCACATTCCTGGACGTGTTCACAGGAGTATTTTTGTTGAAAGAATGGCTTTTATTTTCGTTATAGAATTGATTTTTATTTTCGTTATAGAATTGTTTTTTATTTTCGTTATAGAATTGCTTTTTATTATCATTGTAGAGTTGATTTTTATTTTCGTTATAGAGTTGTTTTTTATTTTCATTGTAGGGTTGATTTTTATTTTCGTTGTAGAGTTTAATTTTGTTTTCTATTGGTGCATTTTTGAAATATTCATCTGCATGTCTAAGACGAGCAACTGCTTGAGAAAAGGTGGTACATCCTAACAGTACACAAGAGACACTGGGGGGAAAATGTGGTGCTATCATATCAATAAGTTCAGTTGGTGAGTATTTTGGTTGCAGATGTTTAGTTTTTGAAACCCAATAATTGAAATGATCACAAAAGAGTCCACTTCGGTATTCATCACTTTCTAAATTATCTCTTATCTTTCTCTGCTTTTTTGCATTCCAGAACTGCTCTATAAATTCTATTTTGAAAATGTCATAATCATCAAATGATTGTGAGAAAGCTTCCCACCAAAGTTTTGCAGAATTCTTAAAAGTTTGACCAAGCAAGATTTTTACATTATTGAAAGGAACTTTGGAAAAATTCACACTTTCTAAAATTTGTAGAAAATCTAATGGTTGCAAGTCACCTTCACCATCAAATTCAGGTAAAATCTTACTTAAATCCCCAAGGGAATATTGCAACATATTTGGTAGAAGATTGGTATTTGGCACACCCTGTACATTTAAATTTGAGAAATTTTGTGGTAAGCTATTTACATTGTTATGTACATCATTGTTCACATTATTATTTACATTACTATACAAATTTGGACCTCTGAGAAGATTTTGATCTACTAGTTGTTGGACAGTATTGTTTACAATTTTTGTCACAAAATCATTCATATCATTACTGTTTCTTTCAGGTGCAGAAAATGTTTGTTGCACTGGAAAATCATCCTGATGTCTGTATGGGTTTTGGAAATTGAAGTTATGTGCCCCCATAGGCCCCATATTGTTAAAATTTCCCATTTGGGGTGCACTGTGGTGAGGCGGTGGAAATCGCATATTTGGTGCCCCCCTACCATCAGAGTTCATCATGTGAGGTGCACTTGATGTATATGGCGGTGGAAATTGCATAGAAGTTGCCCCCATATGTCTCAAGTTTTCCATTTGGGGTGCACTTTGAGGGTATGTCATATTTCCTTTGTTAGTTTCATGTGCTTTTTCTTGATAATTTTTAGGAAGAGCACCGAAAAAGTTTCGAGGGAGAGGAGGAGGAGGACGTACTTCATGATGAGGACCTTTGGGTAGTTGGAAAGCCGAATTTTGCCCTGAAAAATCAGATGGCCTCTCCTCTCTTTCACTTTGCACCCTGGCAGTCCCTGAAGGGGTGAAATATTCGGTGCTGGGGTTAGGCACTGTACTTTTGATTGCACCCTCATTGTCTTGTGGCTGATTTTCCACCGACGTTGATGTGGTGGTGCCCCCAGAATTGGCTTCACTGACGTTAGAAAATGAAACGTTCCTACCTGGTAGTTCTGATGGTGTTTCACCTCTTACTGGTCCTGTCCCATGGTGCATTCCATAATAGTCAAGTCTTCTATTTGGGCGTAGACTGCTTCGTCGTTCTTGGGAATTCATTTCCTTGGCTCCACTGGTTGAGCGCCAAGTTGTACTGATACAGGGGTTGAGGGTTAGCCAGTAGGAAAAATTCAAGAAGTCCCAAGAGCAAGATTTATTTCGTCGGCAGCAAGATATGCAGATACCAATGTGATGTTGAATGTGAGAAACTAAAAGTTTACATTATATTAGGAAAGAGTGTCAACTTTCCGGCATGTCATACAATCAATTTTATAAATTAATGTCCACTTAGAAGCACGTGTGGATTTTCACTGATTAAAGTAATTTTCATTTTACCACTTACCTAAAAGTGACCAAACACCAATCTAAAATATATATTTAACAAATATATATGTAATTGTTGGCAAAATTGTTAATGGATCATCAATTCATTTCCTCCCAAATCAATCCATCCTACCAGTTCTGATACCTATGTCCAAAAGAGCTTCAATGCTTAAAATCATCGTGATTGTAAAAAATTATACTTGATAAGGAGCGCGGCAAAAAACGCGCGACGACAAATGCATTGTGGGTTGCCCGACCTCTAGCAGCTATTTTGAAAGAAATAAAATTCTTTACATACATAGCAATCAGGCAGCAGAACATATGCAACCAACAACACGAGCTGAAGAAAGGACCTGACATGAGACATGATTGACACACGACTTTAGGTATCTTCATAATACACTGTGATAATACATATATACGAGGTAGAAAAAAGTGAAAAACTTGGTCACTCATAATTATTATTATTAGACAAGATATCCATCTTCAATATTTTATATAAAGTACAGCGGTTTCAGCACAATATAGATAAAAATTTAAACTCGAAACAGCATTGTGAGATTCTAGTCTCGAAACTGCACTCAGTAACCTATAAATTAAAAATATTGCGGCACATTCTCACCACCGAGCAGCTTTTGATGGTGTATTATGCAGAGGTAGAATCTTGATTGCGCCATGGGATCTGTTTTTGTGGTTGGTCTACGAGCATTGAAGACATGTTTTTGGCCCAGAAGCGCGTAATTAGGAGTATTGCTGATGTTGGAAGCACTGAGTCATGCATGACATATTTTAATAATTTCAGGATTTAAACCTTAGCTAGTATCTGAAATATGTGTATATATTCACAAAAACTCACATTCATTTACTACAGTCGATAATCACCATGCCGTGAATACTCGACAAACAAATAAAAATCTGATTCATGTTCCTTTAGCTTTAGCAAAACAAGTAGTTTTATTCAAATAGCCAAACTATGCAGGTCCTCGCTGCTTTTATAATTTGTTGCCAATCAACATGAAAACTCAATTAATAATTAAAATACCATCTTATTACAAAATGTTTTCATAGTGTATCTGACTTTTTAAATTGAAGTGTATGTCTCTTTATATGTGTATTCGTCTTTTTATATATGTATATTAAAATACTTAGATTTGAGTTAGGATAGGATTTAGGGTTAAGATTTGTTTTGACTATTCCAAATATAATCATTGTAAATTGTCTTTGAGGAGAATAAAATATCTATCTATCTATTTTATTTTAGAAAACATGTTGAATGATGGTTTTTGCTAAAGCTATCAGTGAGTTAATCATCATTGAAGTAGAGTCCGACCACGTTAACTTTGGGACAGCATGTGACGCAACGCATATGCATATTCAATGCATACGCGACTACGTGCTGTCCCAAAGTTATCGTGGTCGGACTCTAAATCATTATTGACTTTGCTGAAAAATTATTGCTCTGCAGAGAAAAATACTAGTTGAAATTAATATTTACTTACTGAAAATTTTAAAAATTTGCTCGTCATTTTCATGGCTGTAACTCGAAAAGTATTATTTTCACGTACATTTTTCATTATGGTAAAAAATGTAATGTTCTTCATGAAAGAACTAAATAATATTTATCGTTAAATCAGACCTTCATGCTGAAACCACAGCCTGAAACTGCTAGAAACCTAGAAATAGATAAAAAATGTTGTGGATTTTGACCAGTACAAATTAATATTGTGCTATTGAGCAACTTGGGACATTATTTTCATTAACTAGAGATCGTAGAATGTCGCGCGCTTGTAGAAAACTACTATAGGACCTGTAGACACAAAATATTTCCCCTGAAATTATCTAACATGAAAGTCAATACGAGTTAATAATTTCATTGAACTAGAGCTCTATAAACCGCCACCAATATTTAGATACTGGCCTATATCAACAGCTATCGTCAATAGTTTTTTGGCTTCCTTAGTCATCTCCCATTTGACGTCAGCCGTCACATCTTTATCCAGACTCATGATGTACAACACCCTTGCCAGTCTCCATAACACCTCCGGTTCCTTCAAGAGTCGTATTCTGTTGAGCAGCTCGTAAGCTTCCAAATACTGTTCTTCTTCATATAATCTATCGGCAAAAGACAATATTTCCGGGATGCTGGGGTTCGCCCAGTAATTTTGGATTTTATCTTTGAAGTGCTTGTCTGAGACCGGGTTGAAGTGGCGTAAAGTCTTTATCAGGGACGTGAAGTAAATGTGTTTTTTCCTGGGCCTGTGGCTGAAGAACAGTGGACAGAAGAGATGGTTGAACGAAACTTTTAATTTTAACATTATTGGATGACGTGGATGACATTTTTGATAAACTAGCACTTGCTTCGGATATATTACATGAGTAAGTACCTAGATGAGGACTAATTTAGTTTGATAGATAATCTGATACCCACCTTTTTGGTACCTACCTCGAAGAAGTTGCTGATTAGTTTGCTTTGACAGCCACGTTGAAAGAATAGTTCAAAAAAGTCGAAGAAATCTTGGCTTCATTCTGAGATCAACTAGAAGCTTCTCAAAACCTGATGGTGTAGTTACTTTATACAACTCCCTGGTGAGATCGACCCTAGAGTATGGCGCCATTATTTGGAACCCACATTATAATGTACATTCCGATCGTATTGAAAAAGTTCAAAGAAAATTTGTGAGTATCTTGAACTTTAGATACAATCAACAACGTCACCATTTCTCATACGAACAGAATTTGAAATACTATAAAATAGATAAACTTGACATTAGACGGAGATTCCTAGATATATGCATGATTTATAAAATAGTCAACAATTCACTCGATTCGTCGACCCTTCTCAGTAGTCTCAACTTCAACTGCACACAGTACTTTGTTAGGAATAGACCTTTGTTCGTGGTGGGCCAAAGCTCAACGAATGCTCATTTAAATTCACCATTCATTAGATGTGTTAGATCCTACAATTCTGTTGCTGGAAATATTTCTGATCTAGATATTTTTTCTACATCTTCTCTGAGTTTCAAAAAACGATTTAAGTCAATTATGTTTGGAATTCATCGATAACATTTTTGTTTTGTCGTTATATCTATATTTGTTTTTTTTTTATATAATATCCTCCTATATATCAATACGGATATTTGGAGCTGAAACAATCTTTCATTTCTCGGTAGTGCTTTGAATATATATATATATATACATTTATAAATTTGGTGCTTCAAGCAATCCAGTATAGCATCATCATCATCATGTATAATTGAATATTCTTTTGAGTTTTTTTTATTGCTATAAACATGAAGCTGACATCACAATATCATTCAGTTTTTGTTTTCTTTCATTGTGTGCTATGTTAGTTTAAGAACTGAAATTTATAGATACTATCGAAGCTTACGTTTATGTTTCATTTTCGAACTGTGTCAACTTTCACAACTATTCATTATATTGTTCTAATTTTGTGCTACTCTGTAATTGGATGGGTAAAACTATCTGTTGTGTAGCCTATTCATGTAAATAAATAAATAAATAAATAAATTAATTACCTACTACCTGCTGCTCTAAAACCGAAAGGGGAAATGGAAGCCTAAGAGAGAAATATCGACTACCCTGTCAACATGTGTGGAAGATGTTTTCGTTCCAGTAAATATTGTATCTTCGCAGATGGTTTGAAGATATACAAAGAGATCAAGTGTGACCGTGACTATGAGCTACTGCAGGATGACATCACTGCTTTTTCTGAGTTTTGTATTAGACACAAGCTGCTCGTCAATCCTGACAAATGTATGATGATTAACTTTTCGCGCTCTATCACTCCTCCTCATAAAGAAATACTGTTGAATAACACTTGTATCAAATCATCGGAAAATGTGAAAGACCTAGGAATTATATTAGATGTGAAACTGTCATTCGAAAATCAAATCGATGCTATTGTGCGTAAAGCCATGAGGAATCTTGGATTTATAATGAGAATGAGCAAAAACTTTCAGAATCTGTCAACTATCTTAACATTGTATAATGCTATTGTTAGACCAATATTGGAATTTTCCACGATTGTCTGGAATCCATTTTATATTAAATATACTTCACGTATTGAAAGAGTGCAACATAAGTTGATAAATTTCATAAATTACAAATTTAACAAGCAGCGTCACTATTATTCGTATAAGTCAAACCTAACTTTTTATAATCTCAACTCCCTAGAAGATAGAAGGATATTTTTTGATGTTATTTTCGTTTACAGGCTGGTCAATAATATGGTCGACTCTGAATATTGTCTTCAGTATTTTGAGTTCAATTGTAGTCATTTTGGTCTTCGTAATAGAAATATTTTTTTGATAGATAGGTATAGGTCTAATTACTTATTAAATTCGCCAATGCTGCGTTGTTGTCTAACATACAATAATCTTGTCAGGAGTAGTCAGGATATAGATTTTTTTGGTCAGAGTCTCAGTTCGTTTAAACGGATTGTAAAATCATATATTTTTCGCTCAAATCAGTGAAAATTTATATTCCTTGAATTGTTACATTAAATTAAATTGTTACATCATCTCACTAATTTAGCTAAGTAGTTATAGTTGTAGTATAGACTTTCGATTTAAAAGAATTATATTATATTTTTGTTACTAAGGGCGGCCTTGTAATAGGATAGCATATGCTATCTGTTGGGCAGCCAAAATACTAAATAAATGAATAAATAAATAAATAAACATATTGCGTGGGACCTACAAGAGTTCAGACACAGAAATGACAATTGTTGGTGTTTTCGAATGTTCAGATTCATTAGGTGCGTTTTATTGGTAAGATTCTTCCACCGGAATGACAAATCTTGTCGTTCAATTGAATAAAATTCTGAAACTGGTTCCAACTTTTCTTTCCGTCTTGTGGAGGGAGTGTATGAAATGGCGGATATGGCGGTATTTTAGGTACTCTTACCTCAAAATCTGACTTGAAAATTGCCTAAAAGTAAACTCACCTCTGGCAATATTCTGGAATTGTCCGCAATTCTACCCAGGATACTTTCAAACACTACTGGACTCCTGAAATGGCTTTTGAATGTTGATAAATCCATTTGCGGTATCACTTCTTCATAAAAATGTTACATTATTCGGGTGCAGAAGCGAACACGACACAATTTATTTTCGAACTGATTTATTTGAACAAAAGAAACACTAATTTATAACGAACTTTTGACTACTATTTATGTAACACGATTTATATCACGCGGTATATATCTGTCGCTCTGACACTCGCTGCTCGACTGAGTGACTCAGTTGTTCGGCCGTCTTATATAAGGTCCATTGGTAGGCTTTGGTTCGAGAACGTTCTCGAATGATCTTCCGTCTCCTTTTTTTTTGTTCTATACCTCTTCAACTTCAATTTCGGAATCGGTTAGTTATATTTCGAAAGAAGTAATCTTGATTTCAGAATTGGTTAGTCCGATTTCAGGAATGGTAAACTCAATTTCAGAATCGGTGAGATGAATTTCAGAAAAAGTCCGTCCAATTTCAGAAATGGTAAGTTGTATTTCAGAATTGGTAGGTTCAATATCATAAAAAAAATCCTTATATTTGTTCGAATTGTTTCCAATTGCATGTGAGATTAACAAACCATATATTTAAAATATTCAACTTTTCAAAAACAATTTAATCCACAGATGCCTTCCATCTGAATCGCTGGAAGATAGTGGCGTTGCACATGATTATGAGAATGCAAACACATTTGAGGTGTTATCATTTTCATTGAATGATCTGCTCATTCTTCAAGACATCGCAGTCTGAATTTTATCTGGTTGAGCAATCTGTTCGGATCTCCAGCTATGACCCTTTGGCGATGCTCTTGCAAGAAGCTCTTCAACACCGTTCCATACACTGTAAACAGTCTTCTCTTCTGCAATTAAAAACATTTCAAACATATAAAAGGATTTCATCTTCTGAAATTGAACCTACCAATAATAATTCTGAAATACAACTTACCATTTCGGAAATTGAATGGACCTTTTCTGAAATTCATCTCACCGATTCTGAAATTGAGTTTATCATTTCTGAAATCGAACTAAAACTAACCAATTCTGAAATCGAGATTACTTTTTCCGAAATATAACTCACCGATTCCGAAATTGAAGTTGAAAAGGTATAGAAGCTTCTTAGAACAATACCTCTCTCTCTAATTGTTCCATAGATTGTTTCCAGAATCTTCTGACACGTTATTTGTCACCGCGGCATATATTGAGTGTCCGGAAATATGCTGGTGCATGTAGAAATGATTGAGAGGTTGGAGAACAATCTGGGATGCGTGTTACAGGATGATCGTTTTACTCCTGCCTTCCTGCTGATGTTTCTAGAGCCCCTCTAAGGGGAATATCATTAGCATGGCACTGTCTTCTCTCTTGAAGTTTCTTTGGAGTTCCAGCAGCATACTAGAATTTCAACTCCGGTGAATCTAAATACAACCTCCAGCATGTTCCTTACAATTCTCCAATTCAAGCCATCCAGACCACACCCCAGCTTTTGAACAGCTATCATCTGTATGTCTTTCTCGACAATGGCGCTTCGCAAGTCGACTAGTGTCTCCCAGAGGTCTTTGTAAGTGGGTTTCTCAGAAGATCTTTCTTTCGTTATAAGATAAAACAGAGACCTTTTTCCATGAGGGCTGATATCTTCTATTCCTAGTGCTCGACCGACGGAGGGACCCTGTTGATGAAGCTCCTCTATCTTTCCGAATTTCCTCATGAACTTGTTGGCTATTCCTTGAGACATCTGAAGATCCTTGGCGACGCAGTGAGCTAGTGCGTATTCTACAGGAGTGGCAAAAAGGTCGCGGTGCTCTTCCTTGGTAACGCCAAACCTTGCTTTTGATGAACCACTGTATGTCCCAATGAATTCGTCGAATGCAAGCTCCTTTTTTTCCTGACCAATTTGTTGAACTTCTTGATCTTGTGTTCCCTTGAATGGTGCTAGTCTGTTGAAATGAACGACTCTTGGTTTACCACTGGGTTCTTTACTAATGCGGTAGATGACATCGTTGATCTTCTTCTTGACGGTTTAAGGTCCTTTCCAAGATCTCTGTAGTTTTGAACAAATACCTCGTTTCCTTTGTGCCATGCGATCGCTGGCGATTTTCAGATTAGAACGAACCAATTCGTGAATATCGTTAATCTTTTTCATCAGATTCGTAACATAATCTTCCCCCACTATGTCCTCACCTGGTCTACATCCGAAGACCAAGTCACATGGAAGCCTCATCTCTCGTCCAAATAGAACCTTTGCCGGAGTCTGTCCTGTAGATTCCTGTACTGCAGATCTGTAGGCCATCAAGAAGAGAG